TTTTTCATACATGTATGGAAATAAATTCATACGTTACATACATAGAGGTTCATACATTACATGTTTTCTGTATTACCGATTATAATATATTATCATTATTATTTTATTAATTATATATATATATATATAAGTGTAAAAAAAAATAAAAAAATGAAATTATTTACAAAAAATTTCAAGAATCTTGTTTTTTGAAAAAAAAAAACTGGGACTGGACACACCAAAAAAAAAATGTGGTTTTCACACGTGACCACCACTTAGTCTCAACTCTTAAAAAACAATTTTTTTTTTGCACCCAATCCCAACACAAACAAAAAAAAAAAATAATAATTTAAAGAAGTTATATGTCTGCAATGGTATCCAAATGCTTATATTTGTGGTCCTGATTATAAAATGAGGGATGTACATAGTCTTCCTTTGTGAATCCAATTCTTCTTTCATTTTCACAATCGTCAAATTTATGTCCAATTTCCCAGCAGTTAAAGCAGCGGTTTTGTGACAGTGATTCGGGAAAAATGTTCGTACATTCTAAATTTAAATAAAAAACTTTGTTTATTGTTTCATAAAAAATCAAAATAAACTATAAATAAATATTAAAAATAAATATTAACCATTTACTGAGTGACCATAATAACAACAGCCATAGCAGGCTTCAATATGTGTGTTGGTGGGCCACGGACTATTAATTTTTGATAATCGTGGATGACGATGTTTGTTATACAATGTGTGATGGTGATTACTAGCAGTGGGAGTACTTTCTTTTACAATTCGTAAGATTGATGAGGAGATATCCTTCATCACGCTGATTATTGGTTGGTGGATAGGTTTGTCTTTATTTGCTCGTTCATTACTCATATTATTAAAAATAATAAAAATATTTAATAAAAAAAAAATACTCATGCAACAAGATAATAATAATAATAATATAAATATTGTTATTGTTATATTGATTATAGTTGATAGCTATATTGTTATAGCTGTATATTATTATAGCTATCAATGTTTGAGCTATGTTATTGTTCGTTGTTATTGTTATGTTATTATAGCTATTATTATTATTATTATTATTATTACTAATTATTATTACAGCTATTATTATTACTATTATATGGGGCTTGCTGCAACAAAACCAGACAAAGTGAACATTGGTGTTACCAAAGATTTCAGGGATCAAAATTTAGTCATTTGTAATGTGATTATAATTCAAAGGTACACCATTTACACCTTTATTAATAATGGTAGAGTAATATTAAATTATTTGTAATGATAATCAATAATTGATGTTAATGTCTCAATTTGCATATTGTGAATACACAAAGCAATTGAGAATGAAATTGTGATTCTTATCTGTATGTGGTATAACTACAACCAAAAATATGTTTTTTTATAACATTCATCCAGAAAATATAAAAAAATTTTACATGTGTCAATTGTAAGTTTAATAATAAAAAAGTGTAAAACTTACGTCGGCACTGTA